TTTGAGGCAGCGTTCCATCATTCTGAATATTAACCATGAAATGAATGGAAATAGCATTTAGCTAATCACAATAATATAATGATTGCATCATGATTCAAGTCTAGTAAATTATTGACTCCATAGCATTTTGAAGATTATTATAACATTTTTAAAATTCAATGACACTTTTGCAAACATTAAAGGGCGATGTCCTTAAAATTGCTGGCAGCAATAGACTGTCTTTAGACTCATAATGCATGAGAATAGTTCTGGCAAATTGCTGAATGATATCAAGCCTCTGGTTCCTCAGGAATTCTGATGTGCGAAGAAAGATCATGCACATCACATAACTAGGTTAAAAAGGGGCGTACAACGTGCGAAAGCATTGTCTAAGCAAACCTGCAGTTTTTTTATGTATTTTCCTCTGGATGGCTTACGGCGACGTTCGTTAATTTGCACTTCACAATATCCAAGCTGCACCTGATCTATGAATTGAGCACCTCTTCGGCATTGTGTATTCTGGGTCTGAGCTTTAAGCTTTTTTTTCTTTTGTATGTAATTGTCAGTTATCTATGAGGACTAAACAGTCAAGTATCATCTTGAAGAGACATTGGTTGAGGTTTAAGTATGAAAGGCATAGAAAAATAAACTCTGACGTCAACAATTAATGGTCGCCCAAAACTAAGTTGAAAAAGAATCTGTCGCTTCTCAAGCATTTAACCTACTACTACAACAACCTACCACTGAACACATGCACAAAGTGAGATAGCGCCCCTGAAAAGCACTGTCCCCCTATACTGGCCATTGCCTCGTAAACTTGAAAAGGGTGTCAAATTCAAAGGCTGGCATCATGGAAACACTCGAAAGGCTGTGTTGCAAGGATCACGACTCGCATCCCCACAGCATTACCCATTGTTCTGAGAATGGATTTTGCTGGTGCATTCAAAAACGTTGCCTTATTAATGAAGTTCTTCAACTTTATTTTTGCTGCAACAATTGGATATTCGTGATTATAATGCTCATTATATACATTAATCATTAATCAGCATGAAGTTCCAAAAAATATTTTGCCGACTTCATTGCATTTTTATAGCCTTTTCTTCTAGATGTCTAGAGGATAATTTAAGGAAGCCATTTAACCTTACAAAATATGCTTACAAAGCAGAAACTACGAGTTAACTATTATGTTATTATAGTTACTATTATGAGTTAATTAGTAAACATCGGTTTTGGATACAAACAAAACTGTGCAATTACGTCAACGGATTCGCAGAGGCGCATCGCAAATATGTCATGCTGACTGCCCCATCGAAATCTAGATTTTGCCATTACATCCAGAATATCGTCGATATTTTTCATTTGGCGTTACATTGTTTGTCCTTTGGACTTGTTTATTGTGTCTGAAACACACCAGACGTTCTGAATGAACCATTTTTTACTCAGTGATATCCGGTTGGTCTACTGCTTTGAAGTTCTCGACAACCTAGATGATCGCGGTAGCAACAGAAGAAAATACAATTTACCGTATTTCGTCAAATGTCATCCTCTGTTCAAAGGATGATCACGCGGATGTAAAGAATGTTAGACATCTTTCTGGTGGGGATTTCCCAGATCAGAATTTATCAATTGATATCATATCTTATCTCTACTTCCTGATATCATCGATCAAGCGTTTCGTTGACCTTCAGTCTTTTTTCCTTTAACCATCGATCGTCGTTAATGGGATAAACGGCAATGTAAACCCTTCCATTTTGGTTTATCTAAAAATATTTTGCCTTTAGACAAGATCTCCTTAAATTGCAATGAGAGCCCTCTAAACCTGGAGAAAATTGCTTGTGATTTTATGGCAGAATTTCACGGCTATTGGATCGATTCAGAAGTGTGTTCTCATTGACACTTCATTCTGTCATATGATCTCATACTTTTGTTCATGCTTTAATCCTTGGACATCCTCGCTGAGATTTTGAGAGGCAGAGCGCTTATTGCCTCATTGTTGTTTTTCTCTTCTTTGGATACTTGCCTTCTTAGAATGTGAAAAATTCTTCAGGGATGTCGAGTTTATAATACGCATATCTTCGAACTTTTCAGATTATGTTCAATGCGTTTTGGTAGTTAATTTTTTTTAATGGACTATGCAGAATGTGCGATATCATTCCTTCAGGTATTTTTTAAATTTTGAGCTAAATTCCAACATGAAAGACTCGACATTCGTTTTAAAAATCTATTCCAGATTAGCGTATATGTTATCATCGTCATCATCAAGCGTTGTCGATTTGCTGCTGGAAGAAGGCCTATCCAAGACTTTGTCACAGACTACTCTTATTTGTCATTTTTATCCATCTTGATCCAGGGAACTTCTTTACGCTCATTCTGACATCTACTGAAACCCAGCCTAACGCCTCACTGATCCAACGGCAGTGAGTTCTTCTTGCAACAAGCCTGCTCATTGTCTCATTGCCATTCTAATTTTTTCACTTTGAGAGTGACATAGTAGACCTCTGTCTGGTGTTGCTATCCACTCACTCGTCTTCCCGTTTTTTCTTGTTATTGCCAACATCCACCTTCCATGCTGCGTTGCCTAGTCTGCAAACTATGAATAGCCTCTAGGCTTAGATTTCACGTTCCGCACCTGTCGATTTGCACTGGGAACACACATCGATGAATAACTTCCGTTTCAAGCATAGGGCGGTTTCCCGGACAAATCATTTTTATTTTTCCACAAGTGCTCCGTGCCATTTTTGTTTTCTGTTGATTTCGCATAGTAGATGCGCAGTTGCAGAGATGAAGTGTTCAAAACAGACGTAGTTTCGCATTTTTTTCAAGTATAAATCGGGTGGTTT